AAAAACAACATTCTCGTCCAATGAGCTGTGTTGTAAGGTATTCAATTTTATTTATGACTCTTAAATATATATTGTACAACAGTTAACCAAATTCTTTTTACTAGCATAACATCAAAAATACAGCATACATCGTACGGCCTTGGTTTGATTCTTGCTATCATAAAAAGTTCTTTTGAAAATTCTACTAAAATAAGCTATGTAAAGTGAAGATACAATTCAAGTAAATCTTATGTCTGCAGCTTCGATCAATGATCAGTTGATAGGTAAACAAAGTCTGGCTTAATCAGAGTAATTAGATTTCTTTAGTATTTATCCCCCAGGCTTTGTACTTGATGTGCAGTATGAGAGTCGGTTGTACTTTTCGTGTCAATACTCATGTTGATTACCTAAGTTTTGCCAGCAAAAGAAAACACTGATTAATTGATACAAATGTCGTTTTATATCAGAGTGTACTTTAATTTCACACGAGAGAGTTTCATTAAAAGTTTCAAATGACTCAGGAAAATTCTATCAACCCATCAAGTGTGTGATTTGTTTCAAATCGAAACCAGATAAATCACAGCTTTCTAGCTATTCGTATTATAGGATGCACTAATTGTTTATTACTGCAGCTAAGGATTGCAGCGATTTTCTTTGTACTTTTTGCTGTAGAGTGTTTTAAACAAATTGAGGAAAAAGGGAGTAATGGGATAGTTTGGTCTTGACTTTTAATGAATCTGTTAAAGTTTTCAACTTCTGTGATTTTAAGTGCCTGTAAATTTTTCAAATCAAGCTTCTGGAAATCAGTTGTAAATGTCAAGGCTGCAAGCAAAGATTTGAATTTATGGATTGATACAAAATCGATTCTTTGTTTATGAATAAATCGAATAAATGGTTATAATTAGGTACCGTGCTTCTGCTAATCCATGTTGTAAAACAAGCATTAAGTAAAACATTTATCTCAAAAGGCAAGCATGTTTTGAATAAATGACAATTCGAAATATTTTTTTTTCGTTTGTTTTTTTTTTTCTTTGAGAAGGAGGAGGGGATTCTGAGACCACAACTATTTGGAACATACAGCAAAAATTGGCCCCCAGCGGAAATGTGATCTCTGAAAAAAATCTTATCATGCTTATCAGTGTGAAAGCTCAGCGTTCATATTTATTAACAAATGGAGTCTTTAAGGTTCATGCAATGGCAATAACATATAATTAAAAAATGATAATCTCCAAAATATCCTACTGAAATGATTTTTCGAAGAGATATAAATATAATCAGTTATTGTAACATGTCTTTCGTTTTTTTTATATTACAGAATTAACCTTGCAGATATTGCAGAAAAAAATATAACCCGCTTAGTTATGCAAGTTCAAAAAAGCTTATAAATACATGTATGACTAGTTTTTTTCTCTTCAGTATTCTTTTTATATAAAACGTGTGCTGCTTTGCAGCTTTCAGTGATTAAGAAATCACGTTTCGTACTCTTCGACACAATTAAATCCCCCACCTCAGTTAAACCAGGATATGTTACCTTAACATTAATGTTTCCCATGTATGCAATAAGCATAAAATCTCGGAACATTCATGTATCAGCTGGCTCATTGATATATGCGTCGGTGTTTCCGCTATTTGCATTGTAAGTTGTTCTTAATGAAGAGAAATAACTCTTATAGTTTAATTTACTACAGGTCTGATAATTAGTTTGTTGCAACTTGTTTTCAGAATTTTTTATTGTTTCTCTTAAGAATGGTTCACTCATATGGAGACGCCACAACATGCTGGTGGATCAAATTTATACCTATGCACTCAGGGCAACTGGGCAGTGAGGAATCTTTATCGTGTCTATAGTTACTGTAACACGGGACCTCAGTTTATACGATTTCATTTGAAGGATTAAGCTCCACGTCCCACAGAAGATTCGAACACGCGACCTTCAAATGTAGAATCAGAAGACATCTTTACGAAGCTACCCTACTAATATTCGTCCTAAGATATACTTAGAATTCATTTCACTTCAAAGCGCTGTTTTTGAAAGTGTCGGAGGAAAATTCTTAAGAATTGTTCTAACCTTAAGACAGCTGTTGATTCATCCTTATTTGATCCTAAGAAAATACATGCCGATGTTGCTTGGGGCTTGTCCATATCGCCTTATAACATATAAAGTGTTCAGAGACACGGCAACAATCTTCATTGATCAAATACACGAATTGCCAAAAAAATAACTTTCAAATATTTTAAGAATTAGTTCATCAAATTAAAATTAAATTCACCCTCGCAATGCCAGGGGTGTTGTCCGTATTTAAGGAATCTAAATGATGCTTGAAATTGAAATCTTTTTGCAGCAGTTTTTTTATTGCATGAGTGGCAGTGTGATTCAAGATTCTACGTAGTGAAAAGCAAAAACAGGACAATTGTTCATTGATCACTTACCAAGCAGAAGAATCAGCAGGTCGGCGGAGGCTAAGCTGAACAGGTAAAGGTTTGTCACAGTGTGCATGAATGCATTCTTTACAATGACGAGACAAGTGGTCAAATTTCCTATTAGTCCAGTGAGGAAAATGACTACATAAGCCATTGTTAGTATGACGTAACAATCCTCTTTTCTTTTCGGTCCTAGAATAGACTTTATGTATTCCTCAGCAATAATACTTTTATAAAGAACCCAATCAGTATGTGTGGTTAACATGTTAATGACGTCATCTTCAGACGACATGTTACTCCATACATTATTCAAATCGTCAGTAGTAACGTCTGTGTAAAACTTGGTCAGAATTTGTCCAGAACTGGTAGACAGGTTTGACTGTAGAAAGGTAGATCCGTGTTGTCTAGTGCCCAACATGGCTGATGAGGAAGTATTACAAGTTACCAGACTCGGTCTTTTACTAGACTTTTATGTTTTTCTTTACATATCGATAAAAAATTCGGATTTACAAGGCTCGTTTGCAAAGATAGCACATCCTTAAGTATGTCTTAAGGCTTTTGTAAATTGAGTGATCGCGTGAATCTCTGTGATATATTAACCTAGCCATCGTAATGGCTTTCTGGATACGGACTTCCGGGATGGACGGGGCTTTGCACCAATTTCTACTTCCGTTCTTGGGATTATTCTGTATTTGGCTGATAGTGGGCTGTACGCTGTCAGATAAAATTCTTAAATCGAATTTTGTGCTTGAACTATCTTGAGTTTCTTTTTCTTTTTAATCTGATTTATTGCAATGAGGTCGTTATAATTTCCCATCATGAATGTGTCATTTAACTTCACGCTTATAGTTCTTCGGGGGAAAAATCAGACTTCACCATATTTTCCAAACTGAAGTGCTTGATAACACAGGTCATAAAACATGTATTTCTTCAAAATAATTTTAAAAATTAGGAGCATTTTATGCAGTTCCAGGACCGTCTTATTATTTCTGTCTTCCAGACCAATCAATTTTGTGATTGACGTTAAACTGCTGACGAGATTCTGTGAAACGAGATCACTTCCTGTTGGCTATTAATAGTTAGACAAGATTATCTTAAAATAGCTTCTAATGAGACCAATCGCTACTTATGTGGTACGAATAAAAACGCTGTGCACCCTACGCAGTTTCTGTTTTTATTTTAATAATCATGATAATAGGAGGAAATTAAATGAAATTTAAGACTTTGGAGGTTATAGCCGATTTTTAAGAGCCCCAATTCACAGTACTGGTGTGATATTATCATGGTCATTTTGGGACATAAAATCTTCTTGTATCTACGTAGGCAAATAAAAATTATGAATTTTGTTGTTTTTGTCTGACTTTTGACTGAGGTGTGGTGCCAAATTCCTCGAAATTAATGAAAGTTTCAAAAAATCTTCTTTACTTGTGAACATCAAGCCGTCATACTATTTGCTTGCTTACACTTATAATAAGGATATGACCCTCTACAAAATCAAATTATGTTAATGGTTCAATGGATCTGATGTTCGGAAAGGGATCTAAAGATTATATAATGTTAAAATGCATTGATTCCTTGACAACATTCCTCTCTCCATTGGCATACTTAGTAACTATAGCAGACAAAGTGCATTCACGACCCCTGGGACAGGGTATCTATATTTTATTTAGTTAAAATGCATCATTTCTTTGGAAATCTTCCCTCATTTTCATTTTTAGCTGACAAAATTAATCCAAGTTATAATGAGCAAGGATGTTTTCTCTCAAATTGTTAAAATTCATGGTCCCCTGGGCTAGGGGTGTCTAGAAATTATATAAGTATTAAGTTACTGCATGGTTGTTTTGTTTTTTTTTTATCAAAACATAGCATTGTTTTGCAGTAATGTTAAATTATTAAGAATGTATTCATTCTTGAACATAATCTTCACTCCCCCTATACAATGTATACATGTAGCTAAACGATAAGCAGGGGATTCCTCTTCAAAATTCGTGACATTTATTACCCCGAGGTTTGTCAGGGGTTAGCTCTGGTTTTATTACACTAGTATTGGGTGGAGATTAACTGATATATATAGTAAAGATGATTTAGTTCTGGACACTTATTTAGAGACAAGATGTAATGTTGTCATTAAAAAGATTTCCTTTATCAATCAGGTTACCAGACAGGGGCTATGGTACTAGGGCAGGGCTCAATTGTTCCTGTAAGACTCTGCACTGTGAGAGGTTGTTTTCTTTTGTACTTTACCTGCGATCTATATTGTTTGCTGTGTAAGTAGTGTAAATAAAGGTGAATTGAATAAATGAATAATGTGTAGGTTTATAATACATTATAATACGAACTAGAGGTACTAGAGTGTTACTCCCGCCTCCCATATGGTTGTAATGTTTTGCTCTGGGAGACCCGAAATAGGTGTCAGATCAAAAAGTAAAATGGAAGATGCGCAGTGATTTTTGTTAGTTTGTTATTTTGTTTTCCTTCTTTGAAGACCGGGTACTTAAAAATATTACGCTCTTCAAAATATTTCAGCTGAAATACAAAGGCTTTTACTCAATTTGTTACATATTTTCATTTCAATTTTTATTAAATTATTGTTTGCAGTATTGAACCTCAGAATCACACCATGAACAAGTTCACAAAGAATCAAACCTAACTCAAAATTGATTTTCAATAGTAATGTAACAGCAGATCACTTGATACTTTCAATGCCTCTCCAAGATCTGAATTCAAACTGAAGATGCATTTCTTTAAAATTGCGCTAGCTATACATTTTGTTGTTTTCAAAAAGTGATAAATTCTTTACAAATGTCATATTCAGTTTCCATTTGATTCACTGCCCCTGGAGACATCTTTGTGTTTCTTTCTTTTCTTCCTCTTGCTTTTCCTTCCTTCTGACATTTTAGATGCCTCTCTTGAAAGCGACCCGTTCAGCTCCCTATCTTTCTTCTTTTTCTTTTCTTTCCGTCCCTTTGGTGTTGTAGTTACTTCCCTTGGTGTTGATGGCACATCCTTCCCCTTGTCTTTTTTCCTTTTCTTTCCCTTTTTCGGTTTCCCGGTTCCCTCTCTCTCTATCCGTTGGTTAGTTGGTGGAATGGGAGATAACCGGTTGTTTGGACGTCGTTTCTGTAATTATAGTTTAAGAAAACGGTTTCTTTATTTCATTTTTAAGTTTTCAGAATTATAAAGTAAAATTTCACATTCTTTCCAAAAATATGACATAGGAAGTTGTATTAATTGAAATAAAGGAACATATACACGAGAGGCAGTCTGTAACTCATTCCCATTTTGTCCAACGTACGGATTCTTCTTTGTTGTCTCAATCTTGAACACAATGAAAAAAAACCAATGAAATGCTAGTTCTTTTAGCAGCAAAAAATACGAAATTTAACAATTTATATGTACAATAAATAATATTAATATATGTATGATTCTATAAGAGTTTGTTTTGAGATCATTACTTATTTGATTAAATACTTAATTACATCCGGGTCAATCTTTTTCTGTCGATGTTTCCACTTTATAACGATTAGAATAATCAATATCAATAGGATTACACACCCAACAACACCAGCGATTATAACTGAAAGAGAACCAGGGAGATCAATATGGAGGGGTACTTTATAAAAATAAACATAGATCAATTGAGTTAAAAAAGAAGTGATTTATATGTTCCATAATCATTACTCATCTTTTACAGATTTCACGGAAGAAGGAAATCGTAAACATAAAAAAAAAAAAAAATTCCTTGGAAATTGAACTAAAATATGTTTCGCAGATGAAGTTTAAGGAGGCTAGGGGTCGTCAAATTATTTTCTTATTAACCACCAGATATAACTTAGATTTTGGGATATGATATCTTAAGCTGTCAACTATCATTTGGCAAAGAAAAATTTCATAAATTTTAGTTTTAAAATTTGATCATTTTGTTATATCTTTATATGGAGCTCTTCTTATAAAGGATATCAAAATAGTCTGGAAATGGCCACGTGCACAACCACCCAGTCCCCTTGATATAATTAATACAAAAGTCTCTGCTGTTTAATTTAAGAATTCACTTGTTGATTGTAGTGTTCTTCTGTTATACAACAATAATTAACGTACGTAAAGTTTTGTCATCATCATTGTCACTGGGTCGACAGGACCGACTCCGAACTGCTTGACAACCGGAAGATCCGGGACAGGTTGACTTCCGCACGGGACAGCTGACTGTTAAGGTGGAATTTACGGGAACTGAAAAAGTAAGCCAAAAGTTTACACAAAGTCGACGCATAATCTGTTGGTAGGATGAACTTAGTCAATTGTATCTAGATCTGTCTGCATCTTAAAAATTCCACATATTAATGTAAAAACAAACTGTACCTGGATTGAACGTGAGCCAGAAATATCCTCCATCACGTGACAGACTGTTTTTGAACGTTACAGTGACGTAATTAGACAAGCTGTGATACACGTCCGTTTTCTGTATCCCTGTGTTATTGTCACACGTCAGTTTAACAGTCTCATTTGAATCACAGAACCACAACTCCTGTCCACACTCTAGCCTGTAGTCCCACGCCTGTACATCAATCACGTCATCACAACTCAGGGCTTCTACTGAACACTGAATGACGTCATCAACACTGTCGCAATCTGAGTTTCTTTGCAGTATCGGGTTTCCATATTCCTGTCCTTTCAAATGAATATCTGTACGATTTGTGATGATTTCCGTGTTAAATATATTTTTTACATCTGTAATAAGAATTCCCCTATTATCTCTTTACTTTATCGACTAGGACCTTCGTACATGTACATACACAAAATGTTAACTTTGATATCTAATTGTTTTATTTGACGTTCCTTACCTTTAACACACTGATAAATCATTGTAACTAGTGTTGTGTTTTCATGGAACTGTGGATCACAGGTACTGGAAAAAGTTGAGCTCCGTGTTCGCTCTATTGGTAGGTATGTACACTGGACTCTTCCTATACAGTTCTCAAAATAGTCTCTGTACGTTCTATAATTAGATACATTTAATAACCCCCCACACGTGTTTGACTGATCAATCTGACAACACTGGTCGGTCAGGGTAGAATTTGTCTGGTTTTTATGCAGAACTGCGGGACAAATGTTTGGATCTTTGGCACCAAGTAGTACTTGGTACGGATAAACGACTTCTTCAAAGCCACACACGGGCTGTAATCTCCAACCGTCGCCATAGCAGGCCTCGAGCTTTCTATCTGTCACTATATACGTTAGGAAAAAACAAAGACGTATATCAAATGTTTATTTCATTGAATTTTACACTGTAAACTAATTATAAATTATAAATATCACTTACCACTACACAAACACTGAAGTACACATACCATCCAAACATATACCTTCAGCAACGTAATCTTGAAAATCATTGAACCAACGACCCTTGCTTACTTTTCTTTAAAAAATATTTTCCCCATAATTACTCATGTTTGACATTATCGGATATGATGACCGTTTTAAAAGTCTTTAGAAAAAGCTACTATTGAAATTACGTTATGGTTTATCAATATTGAACACTGGTTTTAAATTACACTGTATTTGAACACGGCGCAGTACTGAATAGAATTTCAGACGCCCTTTAAACCCAAACTTATTCAAAAGAATTCTCAATGCTCCAACGACAACAAACACATACAGACAGGGGAAAAACACAGGATTGTATTATCACATAAAATATTACATTAAATAAATCTCAAATAATTCTATCTAAATAAATTCTCATATTACAAGAAAATATCGTTTAGAGATAAAAGGTTGGTAAATTTCACTTGCTTTTAATGGTAGCCCGCTACCTTCAAAAAGAAAACAAAAATTATCTTTTCTTTCTTTTCCCCAAGTTATAAAAAAGAGAGAACAATAAAGAATTTTTAAAATGCAGTCTTTTGTTATAGGTGCTTAGACACGAAGAATTTTTAAAATGCTGTCCTTTGTTAAAGGTGCTTAGACACAGATTTGAAGTTAATATTTTCTCACATTTTCTGTATAATATCACGACGTATATATTGCAATAGCATATTGCACAAAAATACGATAAAATATCATTTCCTCAGTTCGATTCCCTGAAGAACTGTTCATTATATGTCAGAGTTATACCGCTTTGAATGCCATTGAAAATGAGAAGTGATCTTCTTTCAAACAAATTGAGTACTGGGCTAGGTTAAGGTACATCCTTACTGGTAGAATTAATTAGTTGACAGTGCAATTTTTGTCCTGACATTAAGAGATAACTTTATCTACTTCAAAAGCACAAAAAAATAGATAAATAATCTATATTTTTATATAAGATAGGCCTCATGTACCCTCCTGTACCAAAACAAAATTCAATCTTTCTTTTTTTTTCCCCTTGCTTTTAAAAAAAAATTGAGACAGGAAGTTATGTACACTTTGATACTAGTATTTAATTTAGTTTTAACGAGGCCGTATCTAATTATTTCTGCCCTAGGGATTTTGATAATTTTTTGATAATTAATTTTTAATGTTATATTTATTGTTTTAAGATTAAAAAAATCAAATGTTTACTATCCCGATATCTTAGGGTCCATCTCAAAAGTTGTCAAATTTTACTATTGGACCCTATGGGAATTTGTTGGAAAAGCGCCAAATTATCACACTTTTTCCATATTTTTTGTATTTCTGTCCTGGAGATTTCTTTCTCATCCAAGTATATGAAAGTTATTAGAAAAAGTCACTAAATTTTGAAATTTCAAAAAAGTTCACTATCTAGATTGGTCTAGGAATTAATTACGAAGTTTATTTTTTCAAAGCCCAATACCTCTAAAATTGCCATATTACGGTATAAATAAATATCAGTGCAGATAAATTATCAGCGCATATGGTTTTTTCGGTAAAAAATTGCAATGTTTAGATTGCTAGTATGTTTCTTTGGATGTTCTGTCATCAGTTTTTAGTATAATTTTCATGGGCGTCTTGACCATACGAGCGAGTCATGCGTCATTTTCAGCGTCATGCATTGCTTGCAAACCCGAAAATGGTGACGTTGTTAGAGCCATTTCGGCGTTGTTTCCTAATAATTGTCGTAAAATCACATTTTCAGACCAGTAGGGGTTACAGATACTGTTAATTTTGGTATTAAAATAAAAATATTTGGCGAAGGTGTACTGTCGCACAAATGACTGCATGAAATTAAAAAGCTGCGCAAAGTCATGCGCACTCGAACTGGACTCGGCCTCGTTAATTTTATTATTTATTTACTTTCAATTAAAACTAGAGGTACTGTGAACACTGGGCTCACTAAATGATATCCCTGCCACCCATATGATTATAGTGGCGAAATCCATATTTTGCTCTGGGAGACCCCTAAATAAGTGTCATATCTTAGAGTGAAAAAAGGAAGTGCATAATTTGTTATTATGTAATTACATAATTAAGAATCTGTGAAAGTATCATAAAAAAATTTTCAGTGGTATATGATGAGTTACGGATATGAGATAGGTACCCTTCAATACTATAAAAAGAATGGCATTGTCCATGTTTTGCTATCATAACGGGAAACCAAAAATTATGTTTCTAAACAAAAAGTAAATTAGGAGGCGCACAATACAGCAATATGTAACGAAGAATCTGTTCAAGTATTTTGAAATTTCATTCAGTGGTATACGAGGAGTTGCGGATAAGAGATGGGTACCACAAAGCCTAACAGACGGACAGGCATTCCGATCACTTTTCAAGTGCGGGGGATATTATATAAACAACGCTTACGGCCCTGAAAACATTAAAAGAAAAAGGCATAAAAAATACATTTTTAAGTATAAAGAAAAGGTGAGGTATACCAAATCATAATTTTTTATGATTAAACTGGCAAAGTGTATGTTTTACTCTGGGAGACCCTAAATAAGTGTCATATCTTAGAGTGAAAAAGGAGTGCATACTATATCATTATGAAATTATGTAATTAAGAATCTTTGAAAGTATCATAATTGTTTTTTCATTGGTATATGATGAGTTGCGGATAAGAGATAGGTACCCCTTCAACACTATAAAAAGAATGACATTGTCCATGCTTTTTTTTATTTCCCAATACTGCATCCAAAAGTTTGAAGGGGATCTGACTTTATAATGACAATTACTATCAAAAAACGTATTTCTGGGGAAAAGGGGAGGGACAACCCCCTCCCCCCCCCCCCCCCCCCGATTCTTCTTGCCTGCTCAAAATCTGATTCGATTCTTGATAGGATTAAAAATAAATCACCAAAAAATGTTTATTTCTAAAATATGAGAGCAAGAATTTAATAAATGACTTCGAAATATAAGCAAAATATAATGATAATGCATTGTGCCGACGCACATTGAAAACAATTAAGGACTTTGAACATTTTTTTTCAAAACTGATAAAAACTGGGGTAAAATCAACGCCATTCGAAACCTTCTGCTAAACCCACTGTATTATATGTATATGTGTTATGTATGTTTTTGTACCTCATGTACCATTTACATGGTTTTGAGTGACTTAATTGAATTGAATCGGAACGTTACACGTGAAACAAAATCAACGCACTTTGAATTCTTTTAGCGTAAAAGGAGTACCTGAACATTTTTTTAACCATCTAAAGCCTTAACCACTTTGAAAATAATGTGTATGAAACAAAAACTCGATTCTTGACTTATATATAGCATTCTTCCACGATTATTGCAGTGATCAAAGAAATGCCGCGGACATTATTCTCCAATAAATCACGAACGTCATCAAAAAGTTATCAGATCAGAAACTCGTATCAAACCTGAACAATTCAAATGCATGTTTGGCTCTAGAATGAAATACTTGATTAGACCACATTAATGTGTCGTCTTTTGCAGTATAAACACTTTAAGTTGCTGATGAATGTCGGTTTATATAGCTAAGCAGAGCTATTCCACGGACCTCCCTACACATTTAAACAACGTGATTTTAGTCCCAATAGAGCAGTAAAACAGGAACATGATTTAGTTGTTGTATATTCATTAAAACTTATCAATAGATATTACGAACAAATTTGTATTTCAAAAAGGCTATTTTTAATGCAACGAAAGCTAAAATCGTCTGCAATCCATACACAGGTAAGCAAACAAATTTTCTCTCTGGTGTTAAATGGAACAGCGTAATCGAGACATGGTGAACTAATTCGTTTCTCCTAAACTTATTAATATTCAGAGTCATAAACCCAAGGGAGCATTCATTGCAGCAGATATTTTCTTTAAACAATGAAAGACAACTCAAGATTTTTAATGGTATAGTCAGTTTCTTTTATCAATTTATATACATTTAAATTGTGATTAATTGGGGGAAAAGAAAAAATATTGTAAGCTTGATGTTTTATTTCATCAAGATCACTTCTTATCAATGTTTATGTTGAAAAAGTATAATTTCAACAGACAGTCTATTTTCAGAATGAAATACTGCATATGTATATGAATGTGTAAACTAAATTTCGGTTTGATAAACACAGGTAAATTGATTTTCAAGTATACCTGATTTCACATAAGCTACATATCTGCAGATACTAGCACATGTAAATATTTCTGGAAGGTATATATCTATATAATTATATTCAATTTTTTTTGTTTGGTTAAATGAATTCAACAAAAATAATTCGAACTGATATGCACACCATTTATATATCATGACTCATATTGAAAAAAAGACAAAGTAAACAAACAACATGCAATCATGTTTGTATTTACAAGAAATTTACTAAGCACTACATGTAGACATGACAATGGAATGTTTAACAACAAATAAGTTGAATATTACAGGGCATATGTTTTAATAAATATTACGCTGTTTAAAATTGAAGTAAAAAATTATAAAACAATATTTAGATATCTTTAACAAGATCTCCAAATTTTGAATTTTTTTTGATAAACAAAACTAAGTGCACATGTACATACTAATTATTTTTTTCTTCCTACTCAAAAATATTAAAGTTTCATTTTTTTTAAAGATAGTCAATCTTATAATAAAATTTATAGTAAAAATATTCAAGTATTTTTTTCTTTACTGATCTGGATTAAAATACATGTGTAATTAAAATATGTAATTCATATACTTAAGCATGCGATACCAGTGAGAGCCATCAGCTATTACCCCCCTTTTTCCAAACATTTTCTATAGTGTGATTGAATTAAAATCACCAGTTTTAAGTTATAAATCTTATCTTATTATTTTATAATCTATGAAGTCGCCAGCGTGGCGCAGTGGCAAGAGCATCTGTTGATCCTTGATCCTTGAGTTAAATTGCTGGTTTGAAATCCTGTCAAACATAGAGATGAGACTGTATATACAGTTCGTGTGTTGCAGTAGGTGCTAGCACCAAAAAGATCCCTCATTGCTAAATAAGCCCTGAGTGCCAAGTAAAGGACAAAAATATGCAGCTTTATCTCCACCGGCAAATGTTGGCATCCCCATATGAGTAAAAAATTCTCAAGAACATTAA